AACTTCATATGGAACCAAAAGAGAGCCCGCATAGCCAAGTCAATCCTAAGCAAAAAGAACACAGCGGGGGGCATCACACTACCGGATTTCAAACTCTAGTACAAGGCTACAGTAATCAAAACAGCATGGTACTGGTACCAAAACAGAGATATAGACCAATGGAACAAAACAGAGGCACCGGAGGCAACACAACATACATACAACTATACAATCTTTGATAAACCCGACAAAAGAAGCAATGGGGAAAGGATTCCATGTTTAACAAATGGTGCTGGGAAAACTGGCTAGCCATGTGCAGAAAGCAGAAACTGGACCCCTTCCTGACACCTTACACTAAAATTAACTCCAGATGGATTAAAGACTTAAACATAAGACCTGGCACCATAAAAACCCTAGAAGGAAATCTAGGCGAAACCATCCAGGACATAGGAGTAGGCAAGGACTTCATGAACAAAACACCAAGAGCATTGGCAACAAAAGCCAAAATAGACAAATGGGACATAATCAAACTCCACAGCTTCTGCACGGCAAAAGAAACAGTCACTAGAGTGGATCGGCAACCAACAGAATGGGAAAAATTTTTGCAGTTTACCCATCTGACAAAGGGCTGATATCCAGAATTTACAAACAACTCAAACAGATTTACAAGAAAAAAACAAACAAGCCCATTCAAAAGTGGGCAAAGGATATGAACAGATACTTTACGAAAGAAGACATATATGAGGCCAACAATCATATGAAAAAATGCTCATCGTCACTGGTCATCAGAGAGATGCAAATCAAAACCACATTGAGATACCATCTCACGCCAGTTAGAATGGCGATCATTAAAAAATCTGGAGACAACAGATGCTGGAGAGGATGTGGAGAAATAGGAACACTTTTACACTGTTGGTGGGAGTGTAAATTAGTTCAACCATTGTGGAAGACAGTGTGGCGATTCCTCAAGGCCTTAGAAATAGAAATTCCATTTGACCCAGCAATCCCATTACTGGGTATATATCCAAAAGACTATAAATCGTTCTACTATAAGGACACATGTACACGAATGTTCATTGCAGCACTGTTTACAATAGCAAAGACCTGGAATCAACCCAAATGCCCATTGATAATAGACTGGATTGGAAAAATGTGGCACATATACACCATGGAATATTATGCAGCAATCAGAAATGATGAGTTTGTGTCGTTTGTAGGGACATGGATGAATCTGGAGAACATCATCCTCAGCAAACTGACACAAGAACAGAAAATGAAACACCGCATATTCTCACTCATAGGTGGGTGATGAAAAATGAGAACACATGGACACAGAAAGGGGAGTACTAAACACTGGGGTCTATTGGGGGGAAAAGGGGAGGGCCAGTGGGAGGGGGAGGAGGGGAGGGATAGCCTGGGGAGAAATGCCAAATATGGGTGAAGGGGAGAAGGAAAGAAAAGCACACTGCCATGTGTGTACCTACGCAACTGTCTTGCATGCTCTGCTCATGTACCCCAAAACCTATAATCCAATAAAAAATAAAAATAAAAAAATTTAAAATAGTCTATCATAGCAGACAGATCAGTGGTTGCGTGGGAATTGGGATTCAGAAGTAGCAAGAGGAAGGAATTAGAAAGGGAAAAACCATGTGGGAATGATGGATGTGTTCACTATCTTTATTTATTTTATTTGTTTGTAGTTTTTTCCCCCAAAATTATTGCATTTGCAGGATTTTTCTTTGATATAAATTCTCTGATGTTGACCAAAGTTTGAGCAATTGCTCCACGGTTTGCGTCTCACACAAAGTGAGTGCAACAAGATCTTTATGTTTGGAATGTTTGTCTTCAGCACTTTAAAGGCTTATATTTTCTGAAGAATTTTTTTGACAGAATTGCACTTTTAATGCTTTTATTAAGTATAAAGTCTCTTACTATCTTTATTGTGGTGACGGTTTCCTTGACGTATAAATTGTATACTGTTTTTAGAAATTATACTCTTTGTAAGTTATCACACTCAAAATAGAGTCACTAATGTTAAAAAACCACTTGCAAATATAGCTGCAAAAGGTTATGAAGGAAGGGTTCTCTTGCAAGAATGCCTGATAACAAAAGTCTGCAAAAACCACAACCTTGACAAAGGCCATTAGAACCTTGTGCAAAAAGTACTTCTGTGAGGGCACCTGCCCAACAACTGCTCGTCCAGCCTCGGCCTGGCATCACTCTTGTTGTTGAGCTTTGCAGTCAGTGATAATTATTTTCCTTTTTTTTTTTTTCTTGAGAAAGGTTCTCACTCTGTCACCCAGGTTGAAGTGCGGTGGCACAGTCTCAGCTCACTGCAACCTCTGTCGCCTGGGCTCAAGCCATCCTCCCACCTCAGCCCCTAAGTAGCTGGCACCACAGGAGTGCACAACCATGTCTGGCTAATATTTTGTATTTTTTATAGAGAGAGATGGGGTTTTGTCATGTTGACCAGGCTGGTCTTGAACTCCTGAGCTCAGGCCATCTGCCCACCTGGGCCTCCCAAAGTGCTGGGGTCACAGGCATACAGTGCTGCGCCTGGCCTAAGGATAATTATTTCAAAACAATTATGTAATTCTCCTTATTTTTTCCTTTTAAAACCTTTGTCTTCCTTTACCTCTTCCAATACACAACATTTACTATGGCACATGTAATCCCAATGCAGTGCTCTATTCCCCAATTTTCTTTAAAGAGCCTCTGTCTGCATATTTCAGTTGACAATTCCCTAAAGAGAAAAATAACTTTTGTAAAAATAGGGATAGAAGATTTAGGGGAGAGCAGTTTATCACAGAAATTATATAGGGATACCAGAGTAAGGTGCTGATGATAAGCAATACTGGCTTCTATCAGTTTTATTGTTTTAAAATTCTCTGTAGGGATTCAACTTCTACTTCTGTTAAGCACAACTAAATGCCCAGAATATTATACATTAAACAGGCAGTAAGAAGGGTCTGAGTGGTAGAGAAACAAGGTAGACTGGCTACGGACCTTGTATGTGTTGGTGTTTGTTGACAGTAGAGCAGTTGGTCTTTAAAAGTCTTCTGTGTCGCTAGGTTGCCATTTTCCTGTTTTTATTTTTTGGTTACAAAAAATCGATGGCTCCACTCACATCCACACCAGCAAAGGCTAAGAGGGGGGCCTAGATTGCCACCCTCACCAGGCTATACCAAGGGCTCCAAATACCCCTTCACCACCACTAGAGTGGTGTCAAAGGTGACTGAGTAGAAAGCTTGGGCTTTTATTCCCAGCATGTGGTAATGAAGCATTTCCCTCCCCACAGCATGTTGTTTATACACCTCACCTACATTTCCACCCAAAGACAACAACTCGCCCCTTTGTCTCCTGGCTGGGGTGTCATTAGAGGAAGCCTCATAAAAAGTGAGGACTTTCACCCTTGTCCAGTAACAATGAGGCCATCCCTACAATCTGTGGTGTCAGCAGAGGACACATGCGGAACAGTAATGAGAAACACCCATCCCTCCCAGACAAGGAGGTATAAGTAGAGCCCTAGTATGGGGCCAGAATTCCCACCTACACCCAGCAGTAATAAGGGGGTTCCCACTTTGGTGTCAATGGAGGCCAAGTGAGGAACTTAATGAAGTGATGCCCTGTCTCTCTTCCTAGAATGATGTCTGAGAAAGCCAGCTAAAACACGAGGTTTAAATAAGAACCAGAATATCAATAGCTCAATCAAAAACCATTCCCATAACAGAAACACAAAGATCTTGAACTGAATAAAAACACACAGTTAGTTAGTACATGTTAACACCAAGACAATGGACACTGAGAATTATCTGACAAGGATTTTAAATCAACCATTATAAAAATGCTTCAACATGCAATTATAAACACGCCTGAAACAACTGGAAAAAATAGAATATCTCAGCAAAGAGGTAGCATATATAAAGAAAAATCAAGTGACATTTTTAGAACTGAAAAAAAGCAATAACTAAAGTGAAAAAATTAATGGATGGGCTCAAAAGCAGAATGGAGATGACAGAGGAAAGAATCAGGGAACTTAAAGATAGAACAATAGAAATTTCCCAGAATGAACAACAGGAAAAAATACATCAGTATAAAATGAGCAGAGCCTCACAGACCTTTGGGACCATAATGAAAGATTAAACATTCATGTCACTAGAATCCCAGAAACAGAAGAGAAAGAGAATAGGGCTGAAGAGCAACTCTCATAAACCTATCCATTCAAGAAACTGAGTGAAGCCAAGGAGAATCAATCCAAGTCAAGATACATCATAATCAAACTTCTGAAAGTTAAAAAAATTCTTGAAAGCAGTGACAGAGAAGTTAGATCTTAGTTTAGAGGGAAAATATTTCAAATGACATATATCAAGAGCTGAAACAAAAGAATAGTCAATACACCTCTACATATAGCAAAAATACCTTTCAGGAATGAAGGGAAAATCAAGATATTCCCAAATTAAGGAAAACTAATAGACCTTGTCACCAGGAGACCTTTAGATGAATGGCTAAAGGAAGTTCCCTAAACAGGAAGGAAATGATAAAAGGGGAAATGGGGAATTGGGACATCAGGAAGGAAGAAAGAACATGGTAAACAAAATGTGGATAAATACAATAGACTTTCTGTCTTCTTTGACTTTTCTAAGTTATGTTTGACAGTTGAAGCAAAAATTATAGGATTGGCTGATGTATCTTAAATGTATATAAGAAATACTTAAGGCAACCACATTGTAAATGGAGAAGGGTAAAGGGATACGAAAGGAGGTGAGGTTTACTACACTTCACTTGAACTGATAAAATGTTGACAACAGTAGAGTGAGATAAGCTAGGTATATATAATACCTAAGAACTACTAAAAAGGATATACAGTTGTAAGTTGACACTCCCATTTTAACAAGAAAATGCTTGACCAACTGAAAATTTTTTCTTGTACCCATCAGAGGACTGAGATTGCAGGACAAACCATGGACTGAAAATGTGGAGAGACTGGTGCGTACAAAGAAGAACAGGTAAGATTTGCTTACCTGTAGCAGAAGCTACTGGAACCGTAAACTGGTAAGAACATCTAAATGGTGATTTTGATGAATTTCTGAAAGCTGAGTGTGGGGTAATGTAAGCAATAAACTACCTGGGGCTGCAGTCTTAAGGGGCAGACATCATGGGCTTTATCTCCAGAAACCCCACCATATTCTCACAGTGAAGATCTGAGAAAAGTGGCCTTGTGGATCTGGCAGAGGGAGGCAAAGAGAAACCACTGTAAAAGAAATGCCCAAGATTTTCCTGCTACACCTCTGAGGTTGTATACCCCATTCTGGCTACAAGGTAGGCTAAGTGCACCTGAGACACTGAAGCCAAAGCCGAGGAAGAAAGTAGTTCCTCTTTGGAACTACACACAAAAATTAATTCCAGGAGGATTAAAGAACTACTTTTTAAAGGTTTGCTGTAACTTTTCAAATATACGTAAAATACATGTAATGTTAAAAATGAACCTTCGTATGTTTCTATCATCTAGAGAGCCAGCAGATGGGTCAAGGAGGGCATTGATAATGCTGGAAGGGAAAGGAGTGAAAGAAGCTAGGGACATTGGTCAGTACCAGAAGGGATGGAGGTGATACAAGTCAAGGAGGAAGAGAGGAAATGGCAGCTCCTTCTGCCCCTTGTCTCTGATGTAGATGACCTACCTACCTTCAGGGGCCTACGTTTTCTAAGAGCTAGACCTGGTAGCTAGACAGAGCTTAGGAGAAGGCTACCCGGACCAATGATTAGTTCATTCTGTCTCTCACCACAGACCCTGCTGATCTCTAGAGCCCTGGAGCTCAGAGAAGTGGTAATGATCCCTGAGACTCTTGGCAAGGCTTGTTGGGCTAACACCCTGACCAGGCCCAGGAGGCCTCTACCAACTTAGAGGCAGTGCCAGGTTGTCCAAACGTGTTGGGAATAAAGTGCTACCCGCCTCCTCATCTGGGTGAGAGCCTTTGGTGGGAAGAGGTTTAGGGGCCTTGGCCTCTCTCATTTTTTGCTCATTGCAAGGTATCCCCCAGATCTGTTCCTTGGCAGAAAATGCTCACTGTAGACCACCACTAGTGGGACTTGGAGTACTTAATGGAGCAAGGGACAGGATCTCTCTCCTTCCTGAGATCAGAAGTACTCTAAGTGTGGAGAAGACAGGTATCATGGGATGAGCCTGAACTAATTCCACAGTGGGCAGAGGGCCTCCAGGAATGGAAGGCTTTCCCCATAAGCACATGAACTACCACTGATCTGGTCAGGATTTTCCTAACAGTGTTTTTCAGTGAGTAGTTATTAATTTGAATATCTAACATCCATTTTTTTCTTCATTAGTCATGCTTTTAGTGTTGTGTGTAAGTGGTCATAGCTAAACTCAAGTTCACCTTGATTTTCTTCCATGGATGGGGAGCCACCACTGATGCTGGTTGGAGGGCCTTTCCTCCAGCATGTGAACTACCACTAGTCTGGGAAGTTGGGTCATGGAAGTGTCTTAATGAAGACTCTCCACCATCAAAATGAGATTTGGAGCTTCTGGCTGGAAATGCTTCAGGCTGACACTCAACCTCTGAATGAGAATGGAATCACCCAAAATGAGCTCCAGGGTGATGGACTAAGAGGGCCTTATAGGAGGAAGGGCGCCATCTTGATCATCTCATCTACCCATGATCAATACACACTTAGATCAATGCCTGCCCCACCTGCGCTCCATGTACTTTCTTTTAGCTGCCCTCACTCTTGACAGGGCCCTCAGCAGTACTGAGTAACCCTGAGATTCTAAAAGAGCTTTGTTTGTGTTTTTGTGAGCAAGTTCACTGAAGGTATGGGTCATCTCCAGATTCACTGTGCCAAGACCCAACTCAACTCTTGTGGAGTTTGCTTTCTTCCTCGGCTTTGGCTTCAGTGTCTCAGGTGCACTTAGCCTACCTTGTAGCCAGAATGGGGTATACAACCTCAGAGGTGTAGCAGGAAAATCTTGGGCATTTCTTTTACAGTGGTTTCTCTTTGCCTCCCTCTGCCAGATCCACAAGGCCACTTTTCTCAGATCTTCACTGTGAGAATATGGTGGGGTTTCTGGAGATAAAGCCCATGATGTCTGCCCCTTAAGACTGCAGCCCCAGGTAGTTTATTGCTTACATTACCCCACACTCAGCTTTCAGAAATTCATCAAAATGGAAAAAAAAATTCCATTTTGTTTTCTACATGAATATTTAGTTGTTTCACTGTCAATTATTAAAAGTTATAGCTTTATTATTGCCCTATCTCTCCTGCTCTTTTTTTACATATGAATCAAGGGTCCATGTATTAAGTAGGTATGTTTCAAGAATCTCTAATCAGCTCCATTGCCCTATTCGTTACACTTTGTACCCGTACTACAAATTCTATATCTTACTATCTGGTAGAGGAACTCCTCTTATCTTCTATTATCTCAAGAATGTCTCAGCTATGTTTGGACTATTGCGTGCTGTGTTAGTCTGTTCTCACATTGCTCTAAAGAAATATTTGAGACTGATAATTTATAAGGAAAAGAAGTTTAATTGGCTCATGGTCTCCTAGATAACCATAACAACAGTAACAGCACAATTCCCAGAGGAAACTATGGTAGGATCTGAGTTTCAAATAGTAACACAAATAACTACCAAACATTAAAGATCGGATATATGCCAGACCCTGAGCCAAGTGCATTACTTACATTACACACACCCCAACTGTTCTATAAGGCAGACTTTATCAAACCTGCTTCACAGATGAAGAACCTGATGCTCATGGAGGTTGATAATTTCCCCATAATTACATGGCTAATAAGCAACAGGGCTGGGACTGTATCCCTGCTAGATTGGGGTGGGCCCCAATCCAATATGACTGGTGTCCTTATAAGAAGAGGACATTAGGACACAGACACACACACAGAGGAAAGACCATGTGAAGACACAGGAGGAGAATAGCCATCCACAAGTGAAGGAGAGAGGCTTCAGGAGAACTCAACCCTGCCCACACTTTGAGCTTGAACTTGGAGCCTCCAGGACTCAGAAAATACATTTCTGATGCTTAAGCACCCCCGCAGTCTGTGGTACCTTATTATGGTAGCTGAAGCACACTAATACACGATCTGAATTTATCTGAGTGTATGTCATTCCTCCTCGTCCCAACCTGAAACAGAACTTGGTCTTGCTATTAACTTCTCAGGAATTCATGTCTTTCAGGCAGCCAAAAGAAAGACCCTGTGGTCAAGCTACAAAAAATAGGCCTAAAGAATTGTTATGGACTGAAATGTGCATCCCCCAAAAAAGTTTATATGTTGAAGCTCTAAATCCCCATGTGATGGTCTGGAGATGGGGACTTTAGGAGATAATTAGGATCAGATGAGGTCCTGAAAGCGTAGGCCCTCATGATAGGATTAGGGTCTATATTAGTTCATTCTTGCATTGCTATAAAGAAATATCTGAGAGTGGGTAATTTATTAAAAATAGATTTAATTGGCTTACAGTTTGCAGGATATACAGGAAGCATGGCAGCATCTGCTTCTGGAGAGGCCTTAGGGAGCTTTTACTTATGGCAGAAGGCAATACTAGTAGGCACTTCACTTGGTGAAAGCAGGAGCAAGAGAGACAGGGGACATTGCCACACACTATCAAATGACCATATCTTGTCAAAAATCACTCACTATCATGTGCACAGTACCATTAAGGAGAAATCTTCCCCCATGATGCAATCACCTCCCACCAGGCCCCACCTCCAATGTTGCAGATTACAATTCAGCATGAGATTTGGTGGAGACATTGATCCAGACCATATCAATGTCTTTATAGGAAGAAATGCCAGAGAGCTTGCACTTTTCTTCTCTGTCTCTCTCTGTCATGTGAGGACTCACAGAGAAGGTGGGCATCTATAAGCCACAAAGAGAGCCCTCACCAGAAACCCACCATACTGGCATTTTGCTATCTGGTTTCCCAGCCTCCAGAACTGGGAGAAAATAAATTTCTATCATGTAAGACCCTTTTGTTACAGCAGCATGAAATAACTAAGGCAAGAAGGAAGATGACTATGAGAACCAACACAATTTAGGGATTGTCTGTGGTTCCTTGAGTCCCAATTCTGTCCAGGTGCCAGCATTTCTATGCATTCCCAGCACTTTCCTGAATTATGCCACACTATGTGCCTGCCTGTCCAATTCTGGAATCTAGCCTGCTGCTAAGCTTTTCACAGTTGCATCCTTTAAAGGCTGTGCCCTTCTCCTAATATAGTGCATTTCTACTTTCTGCAGAAGTTCTCTGATTGTCCCTGTTCCATGAACTGGGACCCCTCTAATAGCAAAAATCCATTTGACTTTTAATAGTGACCTTTAGATATCTGATCATCCTGTTGGTTGTCTTCAACACATTATATATATATAATGGTACTTTAGGTTCTGGGGTACATGTGCAGATCATGCAGGATTGTTGCATAGGTACATACATGGCAATGTGGTTTGCTGCCTCCATCCCCCCATCACCTATATCTGGCATTTCTCCCCAAGTTATCTCTCCCCAACCTTCCTACCCCCCACTGTCCCTCCCCTAGTCCCGCCCAACAGACCCCAGTGTGTGATCCTCCACTCCCTGTGTTCATGTGTTCTCATTGTTCAACACATTCTTAAAATGTTTTCCAAATGAGCTGCTGAGTAGGTCTGATTTTGACTTATAATGTATCAGTTCCTGGGATACAGCCCTGAAGTTAGAAAGTGTTTGAAACCATCCTATATTTACAGTAGGATTTTAATAAGGTGTCTCATTTGAAACTGGCCACAGAGCACATACATAGATGGTCAAGAGCCAAAGCCTCTTGTATTAGTCAGCTCAGGCTGCCATAACAAAGTACCATAGAGTGGGTATCTTAAAAAGTAGACGGCTGTTTCTCACATTTCTGGAGGTTGAGAAGTTCGAGATCAAGGTACTAGCAGATTTGATGTTTAGTTAGAGTCTCTTCCTGGCTTGTACGTGACTACCTTCTCTGTGTGTCCTCATATGGCAGAAATAGAGACTACAAGCAAGCTCTCTCATGTCTCTTATAAGAGCGGTAATCCCATCATGAAGGTCCCACCTTAATGACCTCATCTAACTCTAATTACTTCCAAAGGCCCCATCTACAAATATATCACATTGGGTCTTAGGGTTTTCCTATCTTGATTTTGGTGGGAGCAGGGACACAGTTCAGTTAATAATATATCCTTCATAAGTGATAGATGAAGAAAGACTGTGGAAATCAATGTGGAGCAAATATCCACCGAAGTGGAATTCCTAAAACCCTGAAGTCCTCCTAGGAGATGAAAAACAGTTCCTTGGTAGGCATGCTAGCTCTGATTAAAAATGAAAAACAATTAAAAAAAAATGAAAAAAAAAACCTTCTTGCTACTGCTTTTGGTTCATGTATTTGTTCCAAAGGAAAGGCATAGTTTTCAATGTGTCTAATGGTATCTGGACAGATGTTCAGGTAACAGGAGGATACCAGAGACTCACAGGTTAGAGTTTTGCCCATAAATTTAAAGGAATGAGAAATTCTCAGCATACTAAGAATATGTCCTCAGCCTATTGCAAAAGATAGTGCACAAAAGTGCTAGTAAGTGAAGAAATCCCTGCTGAGATATACACAATCCTTAGAAAACTACATGTGAGCCTGTATTTGAAAGCATCTGTCATACACTCCACACTTAAAAAACGTTGGAGAACTTAAAGAAAATCTGGTTTCCTCAGAAACTCTTCCCAGCAATGAAAAGGCTGTTGTCATATCAAATCATAATAGTTCATTTTTGTTGAGTACCTATTATGTAACAGTTTATGGGAGAGACTATAGTGGTCACCCACATCTCATCTACTTCCTGGACACATGGGAATGGTACAGTCCACCCGCAGTTAAGAAGGGTCATGTGACAACCCCTTACCATTGAAACATGAGCAGAAGCATCATTTGTCACATCCAGACATTTGAAAGCCAGTGTGCCATTTCCATGCTTTCTCCCTCCATCTTATAGTAAACATGGTAGCCTCATGTTGAGATGGTAGAATCACAAGGTGAAAGCTGCCTGGATCCCTGGGTCATGTGAGAGTGGAGAGGCCCTGTCAAACCACATCAGGAATTATGTGCACATAAAATAAACTTGTGCTTTGTCTAGTCACTCAAATTCCAGGGTTTGCCCATTGCAAAAGCTCGCAGTTATTTTGACTATTACACAGCTACTATTTTTGCTGTTAGGCTTATTTAGATGTTTTAATTAAAAAGATAATAATGCCTATATTCTTGTTGCAGAAAAATTCTAAAATACAGAATTCACAATTCTTCTCTGTATAATGTTCCTTCACAATTCATCCCACACCTCAAAGATCACCACAATCAGCAATCTGCTGTGTAGTATTCTATTTTATTTGATATATTTTTTGTTTTAGTTTGTTTTTGAATGCATTTATTTCACAAATCTGTGCATTAAGAACTATAAAAATGTTTCTATCACGTTTTGTGTTTGTATAAATTAAATCAACAATAATTTCAGTCACAATTAGTAGTCAAAAGAATTTTTCCCCTTTCTACAGGCTGCATATCCAGGGGGCATTCAAAAAGCTCAAGGAAAATCTAATTAAAAGATAAAAATAAAAAATAGGAATGATATTTCTGAACATAAAGTATATCAAGTTCAATACACTTTTGTTAGTGATGATATCAGCTATTTAGTCTATTCCTAAAGAACTGAGAGACCTGGGAATTTGACCATATCAATGCAGTCCTTTTACACTATTAACCAAAGAAAAATGAGTGTGCTTTAAAAACTTCTCAAGATTTGGACTGTGAACTTTTGTGTTATTGCTGAAATGAGTAAAGGCTTTGGGGGACTGTTGGGAAGGCAGGATTGGTTTTGAAATGTGAAGACATGAGATTTGAGAGGGGCCACAGGCAGAATAATATGGCTTGGCTCTGTGTCCCCACTTAAATCTCATCTTGTAGCTCCCAATATTCCCACATGTTGTTGGGGAGACCCAGTGGGAGATAACTGAATCATGGGCTTGGGTCTTTCCCATATTGGTCTTGTGATAGTGAATAAGTCCCAAGAGATCTGATGGTTTTAAAAATAAGAGTTTCCCTACACAAGCTCTCCCTCTCTTTGCCTGCTGCCATCTATGTAAGATGTGATTTGCTCATCCTTGCCTTCCACCATGATTGTGAGGCTTACCCAGCCACGTGGAACTGTAAGTCCATTAAGCCTCTTTCTTTTGTAACTTGCCCCATCTTGGTATGTCTTTATTGGCAGTGTGAAAAGAAACTAATACAGAGGGGTTACTGGACTTCATTTCAAGGTTTATAAATTAACAATAATCACTATAGTGTGCAATTGTCATAGTTATAGAAATACACCAATGGAAGAGAATAAAGTCCAGGAATAGATCCACATGTACACGCATATATAGAAAAGCCAAATATTGATAAAGATGCAAATGAAGTTTAGAGGAGAGAAATAGTGTCTTCAACTCGGTCCAAGACCCATATGAAAAACTGAATTTCAATGCATAATATCTATCTATCATCTATCTATCTATTTACCTGCCTACCTACCTATCTATGTAAAAAGGGACAGAGAAGGAAAGATAAAGATATCATTAGTAATGATCTCATGTGATTATAAGGTCTGGATATATCTCAGACAGCATGGTTATGTTAGTCTTGTGGTAGAATTCCTTTTCCAGGAAACCCTGGTCTTTCATCTTAACACCTTCAACTGATTGGATGAAGCCCATCCATATCATGGAGGTTAAACTTCTTTACTTAAAGTCAATTCATTGTAAATGTTGATCACATCTACAAAATACCTACATGGCAACATCTAGACTACTGTTTGACCACACAGCTGAGCACTATAGCCTAGAGAAGTTGGCACATAATTCTAACATATCTTGCACCATACAAAAATGTAACTCAAAATGAACTGCAGACTTAAATGTCAAAATAACATTTTTTCTAGGAGAAAACTAAAGAAAAGTTGTGTTACCTGGAATTATGCCTTAGTCAGGTCAATCTGCCATAAAAATATGTCATGGACTGAGTAGCTGAAACAACAGAAATTTATTTTTTTCACACTTTTTAAGTCTGGAATCCCCAGATAAAGGAGTGGTGGGGTTGGTTTCTGGTGACAACCTTATATCCCTGACTTGTAGGTGGACCTTTCTCATTATGTCTACTCTTGGCCTTTTCTCTGTGCATGTGCATGGAGAGAGAGAGAGAGAGAGAGAGAGAGAGAGAGAGAGAGAGAGAGAGAGAGAGAGAGAGAGAGAAGAAAGAAGAGAGAAGGAAGGAAAGAAAGAAAGAAAACAAAACCAACACCAATTGTCAGTGAAGATGTGGAGCAACAGAAACTTTGATTCATTGCTGTTGGAAATGGAAAATGGTATAGCCACTTTGGAAGGAAGTTTGCCATTTTCTTAAAGAACTGAACATAGACTTACCATAAAATTCAGCAGTCATACGCGATCAATTTACCCAGTTGATCTGAAAAGCTTGTCTACATTAAAATTTGTATATGAATGAATGTATGCAATAGCTTATTTCACCATCACCAAAAATATAAGCATCCAAAAAAAATGGTACACCAGATAATGATACTACTACTCATTAACAAAAAGCCACACAAAATTATAGATGACCCTCAAGTTCATTTTGCTAAGTGAAAGAAGCCAGTCAAAAAAGGCTAGATAGTATAATATTCTACTAATATGACATTCTGGAAAAGACAAAATTATAGAGATGAAAAACCTATCAGTGGTAGCTAAAGAGCTTATCCAACAAGCACAAAGGCTTTATTAGGGTGGTAAAACTAGTATGGATAATACTGCAATGGTGGATGCATGTTTGTTCTGGTCTGAATAGTTGTGTTCCCACAAAATTAATATGTTGAAATACCCAAATGGTGGTATTAGGTGGAAAGTGGGGTATTTGGAAGATGATTAGATCCCAAGAGCAAAGTCCTCACGAATGGGATTAGTGTTATTATACAATAGACCCACAGAGGTCCCTTGCCCTTTCTCCCATGTGAGGACATAGGGAAAACACAGATGTTTAAGAACTAAGAAGCAAATCTCCTCCAGACATGAAATCTGCCAGTACCTTGATCTTGGACTTCCCAACCTCCAGAATGTGAGAAATAAAGTTGTGTTGTTTATAAACCACCCAGTGTACATTATTTTTGTTATGGAAGCCCAAACAAACTACAAAAACGGCACTAGGCCTTTGTAAAACCCGTAGATCTTTACAGCACAAAGAGCAAAGCTTAATGTACGTAAATTTTAAAAGTAACTTAAGAGGGTGGAGAATCACAGGACAGAATGTTACACACACACATACACACAAACCTAGCTGTATTATAGATGCATGAAACCACCACAGTGAATCAAGTTGCAGGGGGAAGTTACCATATATGGTTACTCCATCAAAGAAATATATCTTCTATAAAGTATAAGCCTGCCAGATGCATGTGTAAAATAGTTGAATATTTGATAATCATTTATTTAATTTTTTAGATATGAAAAACTATTGTTTTTGTTTAATAAAAAGTCCTTATCTTTTAGAAATGCATATTGAATTATTGAGAGATGAAATGGTATAGTGCCTTAGATTTGCTCCACATTATTCCAGCAGCAGGTATGCAGGTGGGCGAGTGTCTAACTGGAACCAGATTTGCAGTGTATTTAAAGTTGTTGAAGCTGGGTATCAGGTATACTTGGTTCATTATATTAGTCTCCCTGTTATTCTGTCTGTGTGAAGCCTTTCCCTAATAAAACATTTTTTTATTATAAATATGCCACTAAAAGGGAAATCCTAAGTGAAATTAATCACTTTGTAGAAATAAAATAAATAAGTAACCAAACTGATCCAAAAAGAAAAAGAAAAGTTTAACTAAGCTAAACAAACTGAGGTTGTACACTACTCAAAGCAGAAACCACCCTCAAACATTCCAGGTAAGGCCGTTTTGGAGGCCAATTCTACCAAATGCTCAGGGAAAACTAACCACCATCTTATCTCAACTCTTCCAGAACATACAAAATATTGACAATTGTTCAATTCATTCTCCCAGACTATCCCTCTTGGATTCAAAAACCAGATGAGGACCACATCCTACCCTGATGGAAAAAAACACATCAAGTAAGCTCCCTTACATAACAGTAAGTATCCTACATGAATTAGTAGCATCTTAAACGAATAAACAGGCTCTGCCCAAGGAAATAAAATATGATTTAACATTGGATAAAATACTGTTTTATTGTAATTACTTACACATTAAATAGTGGAGAAAAAAATTTTGATCCTGTCAATGGGTACAGAAAAAGCTTTTTAAAGAAACTTAATATGAGTTCATGGTAAAACATATTTACTTAACCTTTATTGAAAAAGAACTTCAATTTCTAAACTCAACAGCAAACGTAGTTAAATGTGAAACGTTCAAAAATTATCATTAAAGTCAGGAATGAGAAGAAGATGTAGGCTATTATCTCTATGGTTCAAATCAGGATTGAGACACAAAGAGCTAGAAGTATCAAAATAATTAAGTGGTATGAATATTGGAAAAACATATAACGTTTAGTGATAATACCATTATCGATCTTTTCATTTTGGTCTAGTAATCTGTCTTACACCTTTTCATTTGAATTGTTCTAGAACAATTAATAGACAATATGCCATTTGCAATAGCAACAAAATCCAACAATTACCTGAAAAGAAGTCTACCCAAAATGCATAAGGTCTTTGTAGAGGCAACTATCAAAGTATACTGACATATTCAGGTAAAAAGAGTTTGAAATAAATACAGTATAACATATTCATTCATAGGGAACACAACATTGTAAAAATGTCAACTCTGGTTAAATTATTTACAGTTTAGTGCCTTACCTGTAGCTGCCGACATTAGAATCAACTTTAGGTTACTGTGCTCTGCTTCTCAAATCAACACTGAAAATTTATACAATGGAAAAAGAAAGAAAAAAACCAGTATCAGCAACAAAATCTATGCAACAAAAGAGAGAGAAAACCCCTGGGTGAGACTGAAGACTGTGTTGAGCGATACTTGCAGTGTTGCCTGGACAGGAGTTGGCGGCAGGGATGTTGGAGAGGTTTGTAGCCTACCTAGACGGCAGATGACAGAATGGGTAGAAGAAAGGTTTTGTAATTTCCACTTCACTTCATTGCACAAACTGAGGCAGACCCTGAAACCACAAAGCCGAGAGCCCTAGTGTAATAATAGCAATTGCCTCCAGAGTTCTGCTAATAACAACCTGAAACCAACATAGTGGGAGAGGAATTACATTTTAAGAAAATTATTTCAACAGAACATAAAGAATGGAATAGAAGTAGAGTAGGATATCAGAGTGACTCATGCATGCTAAGGGTAGCTATTCCGTCATAGAAATAAATATATAAATTGCTACCTATATATATATACTTGGAAGATACGTAAACCATATTTCATTGACTGAGGGTAAATCATTTAGGACCAAAGGTTTGCCAAGTGTAGCTCTGGCTGGGGAGAAGCCCCCACGGGAAGGTGTGTCTTCTCCCAGAGGTCACTACAATCGAGGGAGCTGCCGCTCTGCAGGGAGCACCTGACCTGGGACCTGCAACCATTCTTTGCAAGGGGTGCAGCTGCACAAATGCTTCGAGATGATCAAAAGAGCATCTCCCACCCATCACTTCATCAAAGAGCCAGGAGTGAGGAAGAGGACCCTCCTAGGTGAGGACTGAGAGTCCGCCCTCCCCACATAGAGGGACCACAGGATCCAGTTCAGCCTCCCTTGTGAGCCCTGGTAAACAGTGGCATGATGTCACAGTGACTACACTCCTCCCCACTGCCACTTCGGGGGTAGTCAGAGTCAGAGACTTGGTCTGAGGGGAGCAGACACAATCGGCAGAGGTTGCTGGTCCAGCTCAGCCAGACATCAACATCAGGACCCCCAGGGATGACCGAAGGCCCCCTCCAACCCCCAACTCCCCTGACCCCACCACTATGTACAGCCTTAGGATTCCCACCCCAATCCCTACCCCTACCCCTACCACCATCTTCATGCTCACTCCCACACCCATTTCCGTCCAGGCAAATTCCGGTTCCACCCCTGCCAAGAATCCAGGGAAGCACTGAGGCCCAGATGTAACTTGGGCACTGGGGGTCAGACTGAAGGGAGGGTCTTGCTCTGAGGAACTGCCTGATACCGGCAGAGGGAAACAGGCCCAGGCTCCGTGAGGAGGCAAGGTGAGACGCTGAGGGAGGACTGAGGCGGGCCTCATGCCAGACAGAAGTCCCCAAATAATACAGTGCCACCCCTGCCCCCAGCAGGGGCAGACATCTCAGGTTGGGTGGCCCACACCCCACCTGGCTAACCCCAGCCACTTAAGTTACAGGGAACTCTAGGGTCAGAGCTCCGGTGACCAGGGCGGAGCTGGTTAGAAGAGGGCAAGGCCCAGGTTCTGTCAGGAATCAAGGTCAGGGCCCTAAGAGGGCAATCCACACCTACACTCCACCCCATCCCCCAACACCAACCCCATTCACATCCCCACCACCACCACCATCCTGGCAGAATCTGGGAAGGGGTTCAGTATCATGATCCTGGTCTTTGGGAAACAGACGAAGGGCCCAGGCCTCCTGGGAGACAACAAAGGCCTGAGGGGACCCAGCATGCCAGACAGGGTCTGTCTCAAATTGAGGCACCTTCTCATTCATCCCCGGGAATCTGAGAGATGCAGATCCAGTTCAGCAGGGGGCTGGGACCCAGCCCTGTGAGGAGTCAACGGGAGGAACAAAAAGGAGGACTGAGGGGATCTTGGAGTCCAGATCAGTGGGGACCTTGGCCTGGAGGATCCTGGGCACAGTGGCCAAATGTGCGGCATGCTCATTGCGCCTTCAGGGTGACAGAGAGTTGAGGGCTGTGGTCTGAGGAGTGGAACTTCAGGTCAGCCAAGGGAGGAGCCCTGGGATCTATAGGACCCAAGGTGTGACCCCTTCGTGAGGACTGGGGATATGCCTCACAGAGGCTGGGTTTCCTGTATTCTTACCTCTGGAGGAATCCAATTAGGGATGGCCCAAAGTGTCAACCTTATTTGTATCACAGGCAGGAAGTTGGGGAACCCTCAGGGAGATAAGGTGTTGGTGCAAAGGAGAGATGTCTGCTTATTTCAGGGGTTTGGGGGTTGAAGGACACGTCCCGGCAGGAGTAAAGATGAGTAGCCCACAGGAGGCCATCAGAACCCTCACCCCAGAACCAACGGGGTCTGTCCTGGACACCCCACGTGGGAGTGACAGGATGTGGCCCCTCCTTACTTCTATTTCCAGATCTTAGGGAGATGAGGACCTTGTTTTCGGACAGTGACTCAGGTCAACCCTCAGGCCCCCATCTGGTTGACAGAAGCAGCAGTCCTAGCATCTGCCAAGCATCCAGATGGGTAGCCTGAGGGAGGATTGAGGGTACCCAGGGGCAGAACGCAGACAGGGGCCCCACAGAAATCTGCCCTGCCCCTGCTGTTACCTCGGAGAGTCTGGGCAGGGCTGTCAGCTGAGGTCTCTCCATTATCCTGTGATCACTGATGTCAGGGAAGGGGAGGCCTTGGTCTGAGGGGGCAGCACTGGGGGCAGCACTGAGGTCACCAGAGGGAGGGTCTCAGGCCCTGTCAGGAGTGGACTTGAGGACCAAGCAAGCTCCTCATCCAGAACACCTGGACTCCAGTGAATTTGGACATCCCTTGGTGTCCTACCTGGGAGGACCTGTGCATCTATGGACAGATGTGGTCCCCTCATGTCCTTCTGTATTGTATCAGGGATGTGAGTTCTTGATATGAGAGTTTCTCAGAGCAGCAAAAGGGCAGGATTACACCCTACCAGGAGAAAGGTGAGGGCCCTGAGTGAGCACAGAGGAGCAAGAGAGTGGGGCCCACACAGAGTCTGGCCAACCCTCCTGACAGCACTGGGAATCCATGGCTGTGCTTACAGTCTGCACCCTGGGGGCCCTTGGATTTCTATCCCAGGAGCTCCAGGAGCCAGGCAGAATAAGGCCTTGGTCTGAGGCAGTGTCCTCAGGTCACAGAGCAGAGGAGGCACAGACAGTGCTAATAGTGAAGCTTCGCCTAGAATGCACACCAAGGGCCCCACCCACTCCAGAACACATGGGACTCCAGAGCGCCTGGCCTCACCGTCGCTACTGTTAGTCCTGTGGCCTCAGCATGTGCTGGCCGGCTGTACCGTGACGTGCCCTCTCACTTCCTCCTTCAGGTTCTGAGGGGACAGGCTGACCAGGAGGACCGGAGGCTCCAGAGGAGCACTGAAGGAGAAGATCTGTAAGTAAGCCTCTGTTAGAGCCTCCAAGGTTCAGTTCAGTTCTCAGCTGAGGCTTCTCTCACATGGTTCCTCTCTCCCAAGGCCTGTGGGTCTCCATTGCCCTGCTCCTGCCCACACTCCTGCCAGCTGCCCTGACCAGAGTCATCATGCCACTTGAGCAGAGCAGTCAGCACTGCAAGCCCGAGGAAGGCCTTGAGGGTGGTCACAAAGCAGAAATGCTGGAGTGTGTCATTCCAGATTGCATGTACTTCTTCCCTGTGATCTTCTGCAGCTGATCTTTGGCATCGATTTGATGGAAGTCGACCCCACCTGCCACTTGTACATCCTTGTCACATGCCTGGGCCTCTCTTATCATGGCCTGCTGGGCGATGATCAGATCATGCCCAAGACAGTCCTGATACTCGTCCTGGGCGTGATTGCAACAGAGGGCGACTGCACTCCTGAGGAGGAAATCTGGGAGGAGCTGAGTGTGATGGTGGTGTTTGATGGGATGGGAGGGGGCACAGGGTCTTTGCGGAGCCCAGGAAGCTGCTCACCCAAGATTTGGTGCAGGCAAACTACCGGGAGTACCGGCAGGTGCCTGGCAGTGATCCTGCATGCTACGAGTTCCTGTGGGGCCCAAGGGCCCTCCTTGAAACCAGCTATGTGAGGGTCCTGCAGCATGTCCTAAGTATCAGTGGAGGACGTCATGTTCTACCCATCCCTGCATGAATTGGCTTTGAGAGAAGGGGAAGAGTGAGTCTGAGCATGAGTTGCAGCCAGGGCCAGTGGGAGGGGGGCTGGGCCAGTGCACCTTCCAGGGCCCCGTCCAGTAGCTTCCCCTGCCTTGTGTGGCATGAGGCCCATTCTTCAGTCTTTGAAGAGAGCAGTCAGCGTTCTTAGTAGTGGGTTTCTGTTCTTGGAGATTTATTTTTGGCTCCTGTTGGAATTGTTCAAATGCTCCTTTTAGTGATGGTTGAATGACTGTAGTCACACATAGTGCTGTTTGTATAGTTTAGGAGTAAGAGTCTTGTTCTTTATTCATATTGGGGAATCCATTCAGTTTTGTGAATTGTGACATAATAACACCAGTGGAATAAGTATTTACTTAGAATTGTGAATGAATTAACAGTGAAATACATGAGATAAAGAACTAAAGAAATTAAAAGATAGATAATTTTTGCCTTATACCTCAGTCTATTCTGTAAAATTAAAAAGAAAATACGCATGCCCGGATTTACTTGGCTTCTTTGTGAATGTAAGAGAAATGAAACCTGAATAAAGAATTTTTCCTGTTCACTGGCTCATTTCTTCCCCATTCACTCAGTGTCTGCTCTGTGGAAGGCCCTGGGTTGGTAGCGGGGATGCTAAGGTAAGCCAGACTCATGCCTACCCATAGGGTGGTAGAGTCTAGAAGCAGAAGTCACATAATCAAGGTGGCAATAAGTCCTCTAAGATGTAGAGGAAAAGTAGGAGAGGGGTGTGGGTGTGGGGCTCCAGGTGAGAGTGGTGGAGTGTAAATGCCCTGTGTGGGACCTTTTGGGCTTTGGGAAACTGCAGTTCCTTCTGAAGAAGCTGATCGTAATGATCCTGAGTGGGTCCAGGGCCAGATTCTCAGAGGATGAGAGAAAAGCCTGGAATGGAAAGCTGCTCTGAGGAGTTTCTTTCAGGCAGTGGATGAACAGAGAGGAGTCTCTGCCTGTGGCAGGAATGGAAGGTGTCCTGTGCTCTTGTCCCAGTGCCATTGAACACAGCCCCAGATCTCGGTGATGGACACCCATTATCTGCAAGTGTTTCCTGAACGATAAGGGTGAATTTCCCGGGAAGGGTGGCCTGGAAGCCACTGGCCAGGTGCTTTTCTGCTGGGCAGGGAGAGCCAGAGCTGACTCCATTAAAAAGGCATTCTAACTAGGTTATCTCAAGTGCAATTTGACCAATTGTAAGCAAGGGCTAGATTTTCAATGGTAACAAAATGGGTGGAAATAGTGGTTTGGGTGGGAAAGCAGGTGGGAGAGAGGGAAGAAGTTAGTTGTTGATTCAAATTCTAGGAGCTTGGAGCTGCACATGGCTGGGCAAAACTCCTGCACACCCAAATGTTGAAGTACATTCTCTAAGAGGAAATACTGAATTTTACGGATGAAATTTCCATTTTTGGCTATTTATCCCATGTCCTATTGAGATGTATATTCTTTGATAAGTCCTGGAGAACAACGACAACAACAACGAAATCTCAGTGTTAGGGTTAGGGCTAAATAATATTAGAAATAGCAGCCATCTGCAATTCCATAAACTTCTAATTTACACTAGGCCCTTCAACTGCTTACAAATGAAGAATCCAAGGCCCATAGGGCTTGTGAATTGGGACATAATAACAGGGTGTTTACTGGATATTTCCCAGGATCACGTGGCTAGTAAGGAACTGGGCTGAAACCAGATCCCTGTTCTGAATTCCTTTACAGCCCATGCTGTTCCCACTTCTCCTAGCCCGAGAAGACTGGTACTTCCTTTTTTCTTCTCAGCACTGCGTCGTGTCTCTCAGGACCTTGACAAAAGAAGGACCTTGAGGCCAGCATACTAAAAGCAGGCCTGGAGAACACGACAATGAAATTCAAACACCATTTGGGGCTGCTGCACGCTGGATTCCTTGAGAGCTGACTCTGTCCAGGTGTGGGCATTTCTGTCCAGCCCCAGCTCCTTCCAGAATTACAACACATTTCCCCCAGTCACTTCCATGTGTCCTGTCTGTCTCTGGAACCTGGCCTGCTGATCAGCTCATCACTGGTCAACACAGAACAGCCTAGAATCGCCTGCTCTCCTCCTGACAGGGAGCATTCCTTCTCCTTTCAGAAGTCTTCTGGATGTCCCATCTCTCACCCAGGAAGCCATATGATGCCCAAACCCCTTTTGATATAAAAATTCACATGTGCACAGTGACGTTTAAACACCTGGTTACCACTCTAGTGATCTTCAACACACTTTCTAATTGTTTTCTGAATGGGCTGAGTACTCTGATTTGCTATATTATCTGAGGGTTCTTGGGATACCACCCTCAAGTTAGAGAGATTTGGAACCACCTTGATACCTGAAATCAGACTTTCATAGGGCATCTTTTTGGGATTCACCTCTGAATACATGCACAGATGAATGGTCAAAGAGCAAACCTTCCTTCATGACTATTAGATGAGAAATAACTTGGGAAATCGCAGTGGGACAAACACCTACTTACTGAGGTTGAATTCCTAAATTTCTCAAGTCCTCCAGGAGTTTAAAAATGATTCGTTGAAAACATGTCAACTCTAACGAAAGAGGAATCATTAAGCAGCCTTCTTTTTCTTGTCTGTTTAACTGCTCCATAGGAAAATACTGGCTTTCAGTGTGCCTAGAGGCAGCTGACAGGAGTTCGGGCATGTGGAAGGTAGCAGACACAGGTTAACATTTTGACCAGGAGTCAAATGGAGGTAATATTCGCAGCCTACTAAGCATTTAAGGGGTATAGCAAAGGTAAGCCTTCCTGCTGAGACTTTCAAGATTCTTGGACAGTTAGTTCTGACCATATATTTGGAAACATCAGTCACATCTTTGACACTGGAAAAAGGTGGAGAACTTCAAGGCTAACTGGCCTTCTCAGGAAGTCCTCCTTCAAATGAGATCGTAGTGTAATACCAAATCATTACAGTTGTCTCTTGTTGAGCACCTACTGTGTAACAGTTTACCGGGGGGCTTTATAGGACTCACCCACATTTTTTCTTTGTCTCCTTCCTGGACACATGGGAACAGTAAACTCCCTGAAGTTGGGAAGGGTCATGTGACTTTTCCTTTACACCAATATATGAGCAGAAGCGTTGTTTGTTACATCCAGGCATGTGGGAGCCTGTGTGCCATTTCCACGCTTTCTCCCTCCTTTCAACGGCAAACATGGCAGATTCATCTTGAGATGACGGCATCACAAAATGAAAGCAACATGGATCCCTCGGTCACATGAGAGTGGAGAGCCCCTGCCAAACCACATCAGAACTTACTTGCACATAAAAATTCATGTTTTTTTTTAATTAAAATGTAGTACTGTATGTATTCTTATTGCAAAAATTATACAAGAGGAGATGATTTACAATTTTTCCCCTTTACAAAGTTCCTCCACAGTTAACAGTCTTCCTAATGGACATATAAGTTGTTTTCCATTTGCTGTATGAGAAAAAGAATAAAATCAACATCTTTGAATACAAATTTTTAGGCAAACATGAATGTTTTCTTATAAAAAGGATGTATTTACATGGATATTGGGTTAAGGCAAAAAGGTGAAAATAGTTTAACATTTAAAATATTTCTAAAATTTTATTACAAAAATGCTGTACCAATTCACATTCTCATAAAAATCACAAATGAGTTTAAATTCTGAAATCTGGACAGGACATTTCTTCTCTGCTTTTACAAGGATTTGGTCAGACTGAACAGGAAACCAGGGAAGGAGAGGAGACAGGAGACACTCAGCTGGTGAGGAAGATTGGGGGGATCTGGGGGAGAGCAGTTGCCAACGTCCATGAGAAAGGCCACATGTGCAACCAAGTCCACTGAGCCCCAGGTGGGCTGGCATTCAGAGCTCTGAATCTAGCGTTCAGCCTGGTAGGGGCAGAGACCTGAGGGAGACAAGGGGTAAGGGAAGAAGGAGGACAGGACAATGAACAGAAATAGGCTTGGGAAATCCAGGCACCATCATCACCAGCTGGAGGGTCCCTATAATGATCTGAGTGGGCAGGTCTGTTGGCTGAATGCACCAGGGCTGTGATGAACACCTACCCCTCCCTCAGAATCCCCTTCTCTCTCTCAGGAAGAGCTTAGCTGGCTCCCTGCATCATTGTGGGCCAACTACCTCTCTTGAACATTCTCGTGGTTCTGTGTAGGTCCAGCCCTACTGGGTCCTTTGAGTCCCTATCTGCTGGTGTGGAGAAGAGAAACTATAGAAATAAAAGACACAAAACACAGAGATAGAGAAAAGAGTTTGGGCCCAGGAGTCCGCAGCCAGCCAAAGCATGGAGTCCGGCAGTGGCCCCGAGTGTCCATACACTCTGACTTTTATTGAGTACAAAGCTGGGGGCAGGGTAGGTAGGGCATGGCACTAGTGGTAAGTGATAGGGTCAAGTACCTCATGTGTCATATAGGCAGGGGCCCAAGGCTTTCTAGTAGCCGACATGAGGTAAGGAGCATAATGTGTCAGCACTTTTCCATACTTGTCAAGAAAGAACAAAGACAGTAAAATTTATGTTACTTTTACTGATGATCTGTTCTAAGAAAAAAGGAACCAGGTGCAGAAGCGGAGCATGAGAGTGGACCTGGAACATGACCGCTGAAGCACAGCGTCACATAGAGACAGTTACGCCCCTGGATGTCTGCAGGCCTCCCTGACAGCCGCCAGGCCTTACCACAAGAGCCTGGGGGAGCAGAGTTTTCTCTTAACTCCTCCGAGGAAGGAGACATCTCTTTCCTCAGATTGCTAAACAGCAGGTGTGTCCCAGTGCTGGCACTGCCACAGAGCCAAGGCACCCTCCAGCAACCCTTACATGGGCATGACAGAGGACTTAAGCCTCTTGTCTTAGAGTCATTCCTTTCACAATGACCAGGTTCACACTTCCCAATCTGATAGGCATTAGTAAAAGAACTAAGATCACCTATGAATAACTAAGATCACATATGTATAACTAAGTAAGTAAAAGAACAAAGATCACCTATGAGTAACTACTGTGGTTATACCTCTAGTTATTTTCT